CTCGCCCTCTCTCTCTCTCTCTCTCTCTCTCTCTGTTTCTCTCTCTTACTGACCGTTGAGCAAGCCTGTGCTTTCCACTCTTGCACCTTCCGCGAGACTAGCGCGGGGGGGGTCGCACAGAACGTTTCCGCAGCAGTACCTTGAGACGTGCGAGGAGAACTAGCCACAAAACATGGCTATTTTCCGAGATTCCTAACACACTCGCCAGCAAACACTGCTATTCTCTAAGATTTCTAAGATTTCCGCGACCTTGCGGGCCCGCCTTGTTTGCTGGCGGATGTGCTAGGAGTCTTAGGAAATAGCAGCGTTTTGTGGCTAGTTCTCCTCGCACGCCACAGGGCACTGTTGCGGAAACGTTCTGCGCGACTCCCCCGCTTAGTCTTCCGGAAAAGTTGGAAGAGGTGGAAAGCACAGTCTTCAGTAAGAGACGGAGAGAGGGAGAGGGAAGAGAGGCGACGAAGGGGCGAGGAAGAGGCTAGGAGAGACAGGCAATTTGAACGTTCAGCTCTGAACCCACCAACAGGTAGATCTTGGGGGGGCGACCGCATAGCTCGCACCCCCACCCAAGATCTACCTTTTCAGCCCCCTGTTCCTCCTCGTTTGCCCGCGGTGCATGTGGAGCACGGCACGGATCAAGAACAGCTTCCATCGCGACCGGGGGGATCCGGCGGAGGAGCGGCTCACGACTCCGAGTCGTTTTCTCTGTTGCGAAGTGCGCTTCTGGTTGCGCACGCGGCCTCGCCTACCCACAAGCGTATGTGGAACACAAATGAAGCACATCTACTACCATGATGGAATCCTCCTGTGGAGGATTTCAATAGGAATCCCTCTGTGGAGGATTTCAACAGGGATCATGATGTGGAGGAGTTCAATTAAAAACTTACGTGAAATTCACCAGGAACCCTTTCTTCTGTATGGGGAATTCAACCGGTTATTTGTAGGATTTTAATCAGAAAGTCTTGTGGATGGTGTGAATAGGAATCCGCCTCTGGAGGATTTCAGTAAGAATCCTTCTGTGAAGGGCTTGGATTGGGATCTTGCTGTTGCGGATTTAATACGAGTCATCGTTCTTTATCGGAGTCCAATACGAACCTTGGCTGTCGATAGCCAATAGGAATCCTTTTTTGAAGGCTTTCAACATGAATCCTGCTGTGGGTGCGGTGGGGGGTTCGGATAGAAATCCTCATGTGGAGGATTTCAATAGGAATCCTCATATGGCCGGTTGGAATGGGGATCATCTATCTGAACAGTTTCATCAGAAATCTTTATGTGATGGGTTGAATTGGAATCCTTCCGTGGCGAATTGAATAGGAATCATTATGTGAAGGGGTTCAAGAAGAATCCCGGCTGTGGAAAAGCAGCGGGAATCTGTTTCTGTAGGTTTTCAGGTCGAATCTTGTTGTGGAGGGATCGACAAGAAATGTTTCTGTGGACGGTTTGGATCGGAATCTTCCTTCTGGGTGGTGTCTGTAGGAATCATTATGTGGAGGGCTCGGGTGGCGAGTTCCATCGGAATCATGATGTGGAGGATTTCAATGAAAATCCTGGATGTGGAAAACCAACAGGAATCCGTCGGAGGCTTTCAATCTGAATGCTGCTGTGGAGGGTTCGAATAGGAACTCTCCTGTAGAGGATTTCACGAGGAATCCTCCCGTGAACGGTTTGAATGGGAATCCTTCTGTGGAGGATTTCAATCGGAAGCTTTATATGGCGGATTTGAATTGGAATCCCTTTGTGTCGAGCTCAATGGCACTCTTGGCAGAAAATCACCGATTGAAATGTTGAACAAATCTGCCACAGGAAGGATACCAATTGAATCCCCCACCGAAGGGTTTCGATTGAGACCCTCCACAAGAAGGATTCCGAGTGGAATCCTCCACAAAAGGATTCCTATTGAGCCCCTCCACAAGAAGGGTTCCTGTTGAAATCATCCACAGAAGGATTCTCATTAGAACCCCCCACAGGAAGGAGGATGAGGCATATGAGGATGAGGATGAGGAGGAATTGGAGGCGGATGAGGACGAGGAGAAGGCAAGGGTTCCGATCGAAACCTTGCAGAAGGAGGCACCGATCGAATCCGTCACAGAAGGGTTCCTAATGAAGTCCTCAATGGGAGAATCCCTGTCAAAATCCTTCACAGAAGGATTCCTACGGAAATCCTTGAAATCGTTTTCGTTGTCGTTCGCAATCTCCCTTGGCTTCAGTGGAACGATTCCTATTGTCCTCGACGCAAGGATCCTCACAGAAATCACCCGCAGAAGGATTCGTATGAGAACCCTCCACAAAAAGGGTTCCTTCGAAATTCTCAACAGGAGGATGCCCATTGAAATCCTGCACTAGAAGGTTTCCGATTGAAGTCCTCTCAAGAAGTATTCCTATGGACATCCTCCACTGAAGGGTTCATTCTCGACACAAGGTTTCATTCTGAAATCCTCCACGGAAGGGCTCCAATTTAAATCCTGCGTATAAACATAAAGATTCCGAGTGAAATCGTCCACATGAGGATTTCAATTCAAATTTTGCAGAGAGAGCTTCTTAGTGAAATATTCCACCGAACGATTCCGAATGAAGCCCTTCAAGAGAAGGAGAATGAGACGCATGCCGACAAGGAAGATGAGGCGTATGAGGAGGAGGAGGAGGAGTAGGGCTGCAATCGAGTGCAATGCAGTCGATTGGATTGCAACGAGCCGCAACTAATTGCAACCTATATGATTGCAGTCGCTTTGGGTAGAAGTGATAGCGATCTGGATGAATGAGGAGAAGGATGATGCGCAGAAATAATGAAGATAGGTATGGTGAAGATGAGTAAGAGGGAGATGAGGATGAATACGGTTCAAGATGATATGTATGATCCCAGAGAGGGACATGTATGTGTGTATATATGTATCTCACGCGTGCTTCCATCTTCCCATTCAGCGACCAGTATATATATCGCAGCATCTCGCTCACTTGTCGTGTGATCCAACATGGAATGTGTTCCCTGGTATGGTCGGGTCGCGTGCGGTCTAATCCAGAGTGGTTGAGCGTTGTGTCAGTTGTGCCGAACTGATGTTGCTGGTCTCGCTTGATACGAGATCTGATACCATTTGACTATGGAGATATCTGGAACTGCAAAGGAGGTAAGCTAAAGAAAAAAGTACGATCGATAAGGTGGATCTGTCTTCTGTTCCTTCTCCTCCTCCTCCATCTCCTTCCATTCGGCTCCTCCAGTTCCCCCCTTATCGAAGTACTCGAACCCGTAATGTGGTTATGTGTCCTCTCCCTTCTTCATCCATCTTTCTGTCTTGCGCCGTCCTTGCTGTTGGTTAAGCATGCCATTTCTATGTGCCTGGTGGTTTGGTCGGTTCTGGTTTGGGAGGTTCTTGTGGTCTGGTCGGCTTTTGCGTTGTCTGGTATGACCTGGCATGGTATAGCATGGCATTATGTTTGTGACATAAGTGTGTCCAGTTTGGACGGGTAACGAGAGAGGGTACTAGCAAGAAGAGGAGCGGAAGGAACAGGTGACATGGCCATGCCATTCGAAGTAGTGTTATGTTTCTCCCGAGAAGGTTAAGGAAGTCCCGCGGAACTCTCGACAGATTTTGGAGACTTTCGCGTGACTCTTGGGATATTGTTCGGTCGGATTCCTTACTTGTTCTCTGGTCTTGAAGGAGGAGCATCACAGGTTGTCTTGAGCGGCGCCTCGTGGAGATCTCTTGGTCCGTCTTCGAGGTTTCTTAGGCTGTCTTGCGGGCCTCCTGGAGGATCTGTGTCGGCTCAGGGGCGTCTTGGACTCTCATGGAGCCCTCTTGGATGGCTATTGGGTTGTCATGGGAGCCTCTTTGCGGAGTCTGCGGGGCTTTTTAGCAATCTTGGAAGCGTCTGGGCAGAAGAGACGGGTGGTGCCCGAGAGCGCTGGCCATTTGGGGGGCCATTTTGGACAGCAAAAGCGGCAAACAAAAACATAGTATGTTCCATCATCGAGGCATTGAAATCCGACGGTCGGCCGAAAAGTGAAGGGTTTCCCATCATGGAGGAACGCACCAATCCTTCCCATCGCGGGAAAGTGTAAGGCCACGGTGTTGGCGGCGGGCGAGGCCAGACATTGGTAGGACCATGATTTCGTTTTCTAGTTTCTTCTGTTTGGGATGGGCCTCTGAGATCTCAGGATGGCCCGCAAATTGCCTACGGTAGGTTCGCGTCGTGTCGACTGGCGGCCACCCCGCCGCCGGCGTTCAGCGTTGAATACCGTTGGCGACCCAGAATCGATCGATGTTGAACGATCTGACCTTTCGGAAACGGCCGATTGTTCAAAGTCGAACGATGCCTGCGGTGTCAGGAACCAACGCCGGAGTCGGCACGACACGAGCATGTCGCAAGTGGGCCCCGAGAGTGGCCCGGAAGGGTCCCAAAAGAGCCCAAAGTTCCCAGAGCACCCTGGTTTGCCCCAAGAGGAGCCCAGGACTGCCCCAGAGGCCTTGACGGGGCCCCAGCACGGCCCCAAGAGCATCCCAAATCTGAAGGGTCACAGGAGGCTCCCCCAACCTTCAGATCCAAGGCTGCTGCCGTCGATCATGTCTATTCGTAGCTCGTCCTTCGCGGTTGGCCCGGGGCAGCCACCACGCCAGATGACCAGAGGCCACGGGCGGGTGTGGAAGTGTTACGACGCAGGTGCACTTTGGGGGTTGAATCCGACTCCTCCCCCAGGGGGCGCAAGAGTTGCAGAGAGGAGCCCAGGACACACCTCTAAGCCACCTTCCGCCCGGAGGGCTGATGGGATTGGAACCTCGCTGTTATCGTCATCACACGGTCACTTGTCATCTGTAGCTCCAGATGCCACAACAGGTGCCTTTGCGTGGGATGGGTGCGCAGATGAGGGCTTGATTTCTTCGCACGTAAGTGCTCAGTGTTTCCTTGTCTTGCTCGCGTCTCGCTGGCATATTCCCGCTCAGCATAGATGTTCTGAACCATTCGTGGAATCCATGCGCAGGGGGTATGGCCCCACCTTGGCATGCCGCGAGGAGCAGAAGCGCGTCATGGTGAGGCAGGTCTTGGAGCCCGAGGCCTTGGAGAGACTACACAGGGTACCGAGGGATCGGGTCTCTCGGTGCCCTCCTGGGGAAGGAGGAGGAGGAGGAGGGGGAGAAGGAGGAGGAGGAGGAGCAGACCTTGGACGATTTCATTGTTTCTAGAGGGATGGCCGCTGCTGTCACCTCTGTGTCTGTCTTATTTGCTGGGCCTTCCTCCCCACACGCGCCAGTACTCATGGAACTCCGTAATTTCACCCTGGAACAAGTTAGGCATGTACGAGTTGGAAACCGCTCCCTACTGAGCCTAACGTTGGGTGGATTCGATTGCTAACGAAAGCCACTTGAAGTTGGGAGGTCGGGAATTTGGACCAGTCTAAATCCTTGGATGAAGTTTGGTGCCATTGGCTAGATAATATGGAAGACAACCTGTGTGAGCAGTTCGATGTGTTTGGCTCCGATAGGGCACCGTATACTGGGAGATCCAAGGGGTTCCAGAGGAAGAAAATCCAGTTCAAGGTGTCCCTGAATAGACACTGGGATGCCCACTCTACCCCCAAGGCCCGCACATGGCGCACTTTCCGACCTTCGGCCGCTAGACTTAAGAGATTCTGAGACCATCCTGATGATTATCCCTGCGACTACTGCCAGAACATCCTAGGTGTGATAGCGAAGCTGGATAAAGACGATTTGACTCCCGACCTTACCCTTGCCCAGTGCTGCTTAGATGCCTTCCTCACAGTGGCTGCATCTGGTGGCTGTACTTTTGACGAAATGTCTGAACGGGTGGTCTATGTAGTTGACAGGGTTTTGATCAAAGAGGGAAGGATTAGGTGGCATAAGTGGCAGAGATGGGCTAAGGAGGCTGTTGGAGGAGGAGGCAAAGCTGCACACAGATTTGCTACAGAAAACACCAGCCACGGCCGCCAGAAAACGACACAGGCATTCGCCCAATAGGCGATGCGGATGCCACCAGCAGTGCGATTCCTGGGGCGTCATGTGGCACGACGCGAAGACTCGATTGACAGATGTCCAGCGAGTTGTTGCCCAGCATGCCTCTCTGCCGCAGCCGTCGCTCGAGATGCTCGACGCAGCCCTAACACGTCTTCGCCACAATGTCGGGCTAGGAGTTGACTGCATCAACCCGAGATCCTGGCTCCTCTTGGACTCTGACTTCCGAAGCCGTCTCCTGGACATGTTGGGCCTTTGGGAAGAAAAACCATCGCTTCCAGACAATTGGCCGACTATGATCGTGTTCATCGCGTTCACTGGGAAGCCCGAGCCTTCTGACCTCCGACCCCTGGCTCTGATCTCGCCCTTGGGTAGAAATTGGGCTCGATTTAGACAAGGCATTGCTCGATCTTGGGAACAGCAACATCAGCTCTCGGTTTTGTGAGGCTGCTCGACTAAGAATGCGAAAATGCAGGTTGGGAACACAACATTATGACCCACTATGCGAGGACTATCGACTTCGATACTGGGGCCCTATTCACCGACCTCCAAACGCTCTATGAACGTATTTCGCATTTCAAGTTGTTCGAAATAGCTATCGCTGCCGAGTTCAACGTCAAGCTTATATATTGATAGCGTGCCCTTTGTATTCGGGGCATGCCGGGCGAATGGAACTATGATGGCAGGATGCTCACTCGCCACAGGTCAGGTTGAAGTGTTACTATATCGACTATTGGTTTCGATTGCAGATAAGTGCCCAGCTGTTCTAGTAAGGAACGTAGTCGATGATGCACACGCACAGCGCCTAGGATCATGCCGTCTCGTTACTGAACAAGTCGGCGGTGCTGGGCGAATGCTGGCGAGAGGCGATCGTCGCCTGGAGTTGGTCCTTGCAACCCACAAGACCCACTGCATTGCCTCCAGCACCGAGCCAGCGGACTCCCGGCATGCTGAGCGGTAGGACTACGGCTTCGCGAGGAACAAGCACACGCGATCCCTCGGCACGGACCCCCACCATTTCTAGAGGCGAATACACCCAAGGCACGAGATTCAGGAAAGGCCTTCGACGATCGATCAAGTTCTTGAAGCTAAATCAAGCCAGTTCGAAAATAGGCCAAATACAAAAGCCCGGTCCACAGGCCACAGCTTTTTCGGGCCCATGTGCATCAGGGCTAAGCGGGCGACAGATCCATAACATGAGGCGTGCTGCAGTGACCAGCCTTCACGTGGACGAAAAAGGGTGCGTCTGCTGGCTTCAAGCTGCTCACGACCAAGATCGGCCGCGTCCTCGACCCCTTCAGCGCCTACCACTCCCAGGTCATAGGTCATTGGGTGCGCGCTGTTTGGACAGCTAGGCCCTCACTTGGCATCCTCCAGGCCGTTGTGGCTTCGGCTGTCGATGACCTCGAGCGGGCCCATAACCTGCGGGCCTCGGCGGCCAATCCTGCCCACGCATTCTGGTTGCATGTCCCACAGCTGGGCTGGTCGGCGCTTGCTGCCGCTCGTATCAGCACCGACACTGGGGGGGAACATTTGTTTCACCCAGCTTGCCCCAAAACAGGTTGTGCGGCTTGCCCATAGAGCTGCTCGTAATGTTTCGGACGTGGCCGATCCCAATTATTTGGAAGAGTCGCATGTCTGGACTCGCCTGATTTTACGGCGCCCCCCTGGCCGGGCTCCCGGAGGGCCACGCGTCGGACACCTGGACAGCCAGGCACCAGTCTAGCCTTCGCTCGCGTACTTTTCAGCAATATCGGTGCAAGGCTGAGCAAGAGCGCCACAACAAATCCGAGACTAATCTTTGCCAAGCTTGTAAAGATCAGCCAGGAAGCCTTTGGTATAGACGTTCCATATGTCCAGATGGCGGCGACCGCGAGAAGCACTGTAGCCAGCGACTGCCCCGCTGTCCGGCGGCGTTTCAGCTAGCAGGGTCGCATTTCGAAAAGGCTGCACGCAGCATTCCCCCATGCCGATAGAGGTTGCGCATCGGCCCTCGTGGAACAATAAATGCGATATAACATGGATTAAGCAGCCCGAAGTAGGATACCTCATTGGATATGTTTTTTATTGACGGCTCTGGCACCACCCACCCTGTCCCCTGTCCAGGAGAGCTGGCCTGTCCGCCACCCAGCTAGCAGACGACGGCGCCCTTGTAGGAGCTGCGTGCGGGGCGGTGTTTGGGGGCCCAGGGCCGTTCCAGGTGGCGCGAGACGGGGGGGGGGTGCTATCGCCCAGGGTGGCCTCGTACGGGGCGAAGTCGTCTTCCATGTAGACTGCCAAGGCACGATTGATGCTGTCAATGATAAGCACTTTTCCACTTCGGTCAGGCACTCCAGGTGCCACCTCTGGGAAGAAGTCCATGGTGAGCTCCCGCCCAGCAGCGCTGTCAAAGGGAAAGCACATGTGCCCAGAGCTGCAGTTGATGAAGCTAAGATTTCTGATTATGAATGGAGCGACAACCGAGCCGCTGACATATATGCAGGTCGTGGTGTCGACGGACATCCTGATTCCACTGGATGCAAAACACACTCGGCGCCCTCGGTGACACCGTCAAGGAATTCTCGCGTTCGGCTGCCACTCCATAGAAGACCCCCACCCCGCATGCGATTGCGGCCACGTTAGCCCCCAAAGCTGTTAGTTTGTGTGGACGTGTGCGCACGTCCGTTCCTAATGTGGCGGTGTGGGGGGAGTAGTGGGCCGTCGATCAGATTGCGGTTGCTTTTCGGCCTGTCTGCTGAAGGTTCGGCTGCAGCTACTTCGAATAAGGTCGAGAAGGCGATGCGTAATGCCCTCATGACGTGTTGCGTCTGTCCCTTTCTCAGAGGTAGACCGATTAGATGTAGTGTATTCCTTGAACCCTTGGATTGCCTCTGGTGCCTCGGGATGTGCGATGATGATGAAGAGGAGGAGGGGGAGGAGGAGGAGGAGAAGGGGGAGGGAGGAGGGGAGGAGGAGGAGGAGAAGGAGGAGGGGGGAGGAGGAGGAGAGGAGGAGGAGGAGGAGGAGGAGGAGGAGGAGGGGAAGGAGGAGGAGAAGGGGGAGGGGGAGGGGGAGGAGGAGGAGGAGGAGGAGGAAAAGGAGGAGGAGGTGCGTGAAAGAAATCACTGGTAGAGGAGGTAAGGAGGTGGACGAGAAGGAGGGAAGAGAAAACGAGGAGGTGAGGAGGAGCAGGAGGAGGAGGAGGAGGAGGAGGGAGGCAAGAATGAGGACGGGCCCCCAAGGAGGAGGAAAAGAGGAGAAGAGGAGGGAGGAGAAGACGAGGAGGAGGAGGAGGAGCGGGAGGACACGAGGGTTGCACTCGCAGCGGCAGAGGCCCGCAGCTCGAGACCCGAAGCTGGAGGCCCCGAGGGCGCGCAGGAGGCATGCCGCGACCGCCGGCCGCGCGCGAGGCCCGAGCGGGCCTCGCGGCGGCCCCTTCCGCGGCCCGCGAAGGGGGCGCGTGCCGGCCCGGGGGGCCCGCGGCCGCCGGTGCCGCTCCGCGGCGCCGGAGGCGACGATGGGGGCGAACAGGCGAGGAGAGAGCACTACATTCAGGAGGGAGAAGAACACACAGACACGATTGATCGTCGACTCCCCAGAAAATATCAGAAAATATTTGAAAATATGGGGGATCGTCGACTCCTCAGAAGATATGGGAGACACACACACACACACACACACACACACAATGTAGATTTGTTCAGCACATGTCGCCCAGAGGTTTGGGGGTGAGATCGCAGTGGAACGGAGACCCCCAACCGGGAAACCGTTGCGTTTCGTTCGTGTCGTGCGTGCGGGCGAGGCGAAGTTGCGTGGGCGTGCGGGAGGAATGAACCCGCCGTTGCTGGGGCGAAGTCAAGACAAATGATTCTACCCCTCCCGCCCGTCCGTCCGTCCGTCCGGCGATGGCTGGCGGTGTCCCGCGGTGTCCCGTGGTGTCCCGTGGTGTCCCGTTGAGTGAGATCGATAATGAGATCGATATTGAGATCGATACTGGGATCGATGTGGTGCCCCGAGGTGTCCCGTGGTGTCCCAAAAAGTGAGACCGATAGTGAGATCGACAGGTGTCCCGTGATGTCCCGTTGAGTGAGATCGATAGTGAAATCGATGTGGTGTCCCGTGGTGTCCTATGGTGTCTTGTTGGGTGAGATCGATAGTGAGATCGATTGATTCATTTGTTGGTTCCCCCCCCTCTCGCACCCCAAGAACCTCCTTGTCACCCGAAGGGTGGTCGTATAGGTACTATGTTAGATCTGTCCACTATTCAGTGGTAAATGGAGGCCCAAACACAGTGTAGATTTGATCAACACCTGTCGCCCAGAGAACCCGGCCAAACAATTATGCATTGTACGTTGTCTTTGGTGTTTGTGCGAAGCCCCATGGGACAGGGCCCAGAGAACTTGTTGCATATACGCGCGGCTCCCGATTCAGAGGTGTAAGGTGGGATATGGAGGGAGGAGTCCGAAGGCGGTAACCATCCGGGAGCAATCGCCGAGTCGTGGCGCTCGAGAGCTGCTCCACCCGGGAGGCTCGGCAGGGTGTCAATGCTGCGGACGAGCCCGGAGGAGCAGCAGTATGAGCAGAGGGCAGGAGGGGGGAGAAGCAGCAGCAGCGGCGGATGGGAGGAGAGGGACGGGAAGAGTTGGCTCCTCTTGGAGCCAGATCGTCGTGGCCGTCGATGGGCGGGGCGGGAAGGGGGGGGAGGAGGGGAGGGGGAGGGGGAAGGAGGAGGGGGAGGAGGACGAGGAAGAGGAGAGGAGGAGTGCAGGGCGGGAGGCGAGGGGGGGGGGGCTAGTTCGGCCCCCGAGGACGCGAGGACCAGCGGGCTGCGCGCGTCGTTGCCTGGGCCGGGGGGCTGCCCTTCTCCGAGGTGGCCTCGCGAGGGCGCGAAGCGGGGCGTCTTAGAGAGCGGGGGGCGGAGGCGAGAGGTAATGGGCCTGTTTTCCACCACCACCACCACTACCATAAGTTGGAGGGGGAGGGGGGTGGAGGATGAGGATGAGGAGGAAGAGGAGGAGGAGGAGGAGGAGGAGGACCCCCCCCCTCCTGCTCATGGTGGTGGTGGTGGAAAGCAGGCCCACCAAGAGGGACGAGGAGGAGGGGCTGGAGCGGAGAGGCGAGGGAGTCTGCGCCGGACTCCCACAGGCCGGGAGATGGAGGGGGGCGGCAGGTCGGGCTGGTCAAGCCGGAGAAGCAGATGCAGATCGAGGCCCTCTCGGCTTCCCTCTCGGTTTCCCCCCCCCTGGGGGCAGCGAGAAACAGGGGCTGGCTCGGAGGGAAACGCATCGGCACCCAATCGCCTGCTCATCGGCGACAGGGGCCCGATATCCCCCCCCTCCCAGGCACGTGCGGACTCGCTGTCGGGGGCCTGTCGCCGATCTATCGGCGATGCATCGCCGATTCAGGCTCGAGGTTTTCTCCCCTGAGCCAGTGCCCCCCCCCACTACTTGACATCGCTCGGACGTGTGCATTTTTTTGATCGGCGAAAACCAGCGAGGACAAGCCTGGACCATCGAGCCAAGAAAACACGCACGAGACCGAAAAATGCACGGGAAGTGGACGTCCGAGCGACGGCAGGACGAAGGCTCCCCCCATGCAAGCCCTTCCTCGATTAAGTGAGAGCAATCACGGCGGACGATCAAAGCACGTCGACGTAGCTGTTCGTCCGTATCGGGCAGACACTTCGTCCCCTGCGGGGCTCTTCTGTGCCGAACCGACTGCTGACGACGTGCAAGGGTATGGGAGCAGTGCCCCGACAAGTGCGCTAGAAACATCCTTCTCCTTCTCCTTCTCCTTCTCCTTCTCCTTCTCATCCCTGTTCTCCTCCTCCTTCTCCTCCCCCTCATCATCATCAGCATCATCATCAGTATCAGCATCAGCATCAGCATCATCTTCCCTAAGGCACGGATGCCCTCACCCCCAGCGCCCATCACTGCCGCCATGCCCCGCGCCGCACGCTGCTTGGCTGCCTCTCCGCCGTGCCGCCGCGTCTCCTCCCCAGAGACCTGGCTGTTCGAAGGAATCGAGGCCGCCGCTTTCTGGCCGTTTTTCGGCGGCGAGATCCCAGTGGGGAAGCGAGAAGGAGCTTGCCTTAAGTCGGGCGTGTCCCTCTACAGGGGGGAATATTCAAAAATAGACCCCCCCAAAAAAAGTCTGGGGACGATAGTCTGACTATGTTTTACCACTTGGGGGGCATGTTGTTGAGTATTTTAAACTTTTCGTCCAAGATCCCCCTGTAGGAGGACAGGCCTGACTTGGAGCTTGCGAGGTTAGGGCTCCGAGGATCGAGGATGGTGCTTGAGTAGTGTGCGACCTCTGGAGGCTGTGTGCGGGCCCCGGGACCCTCGAGAACCGATCTGGGGTGAAAAACCTCGGGGGCGGAAAAGAGGGTGGTGATGACTAGGGGGGGTGGATATCATGGCGGGGGCCATGATTTTTCCCCAGATTTCATGGCGCCCCTTCTTATTTCATTACGTCCCTGGCCCCCCCGCTGGGCCGCGCACATGCCGCCAGTCATGATTTGCACACCCCCCTCTTGGACACCCCCCTCTTGGCCGCTCCCGAAAACCGCGTCGGAGGAACCCTTGAAGGGGTCCAGGGCTACGATGCTCCAGCCTACTTTTAAGTCGGGCCTGCCCCATCTACAGGGGGAAGATTCAAAAATAGTCCAAATAGTCAGGGGACTTCTTTTTTGGATTTTTGTTGGAGCATGTTTGTATTACTTTTTATTCTTCGTTGAGAATCACCCTGTAGGGGGACAGGCCCGACCTAAACCTACTTTAGCATTGACCACCCGAAAGAATTTCGCGCACCAAGGAAGTACCGAATCTTGAGGGTTTTCACGTGTCGGGTCCTGGGAGGCGATACTCGTTCGACACTGTTTCGATAGTTTCTGGGTGCTCGAAATTATTTCTGATATGTGGTCCTTCAGTACGATGGGAGCAACACAAGTCCAGGTACCGATTTGACCGATGTTCGGCGGCGCGCCAGGAGGGGGAGTGAGAAGGGGCAGGCCTCCTCGGAAGGCGGCGGGGCTTCTCAGAAGCCCTCGCGCACTCTGAGAAGTGCTCTACGTCCCTGGGGCAAGCTCGGAAAACGTCTCGGGAGGCAGGCCTTTCCGAGCCTTCTGAGAAGGCCCGCCCCCTCTCACTTCCCCGTGGGCTCACCACCGAGTTTTGGCCCTCTGGCGGCCGCTTCTGGGTCCCAGGTTCGTCAAAAAACAACCCTGGACGAAAAATCCGGGGGCGAATTCTCGAAAAAATCGCGGAGCCAGATTTCTGGGTCCGAGATTCGTTGCTCGGCTCCATGATTTTGCAGGTGGTCATACCTCCATCCACCCACTCCGTTGGCACCACGAGCTCCATTCCATGTACGCCTTGTTCATGCGATCCATCCTCGATTTAAAGCTCTCGATGCAAACACAGTCCTCACATCCGATGTTCCGATCGTGTTTTCAGTACTCACCTTCCATGTTGGGTGTATCATGTTTGCAACTGCATGCTTCCGAACAAAATGTGCAGTAAGTTGCTCTTAAGCTGTGGCTCCTCGATCGGTGGTTTTCTGCTGGGAGCCAATGGCAGATTTGCCCATGTGGTCCATATGGTCACGGCCTAAGTTACACCTTAGGTAGTGCCGCTCCAGCGGTGGCCCATCTAATACGTGCTCAATGTTGTTCCCCAATCAGAGCTTGCCTCTGTAGGGGTCCTAGCGGATTCATTTCCCAATCAGAGCTTGCCTCTGTAGGGGTCTTAGCGGATTCATGATTATGGTTAGGTGAGGTTTGGCGCCGATTTCGGCGGCACGCCCGGGTGCCTGGTAGCCCTATAGCCCTCTTGCCCTATAGCCCTTTTTTGCCGCATAGCCCTTTTGCCCTATAGCCCAGAAGCCCTGTAGCCCTGTAGTCCTACTGCCCTATAGCCCTATAGCCCTATCCGGACAATGGCTGCACTCGCACGAAGTTGAATTCGAAAGCATTTCGCTCGAAGCAGGCTGAACTCAGAACGAGCTGTACTCGGAGGAAGCTGCACTCGCACTGAGCTGCACTCGCGCACGACTGCACTCGAAAAAGCTTAACTCGCGACCGCGCGCGGCCTCGAGCCGGCTGGCATCTTTGGGACCGGACCCTTCGCTTGCGAGTGAAGTGTTCGCGAGCGGAGCGTCTTCGAGTGCAGCGCGTGCCAGTTCAGCCGCTTGCGAGTTCAGCCTCTGCGAGTTGAGCTTGTCGTGTGCGAGTTCAGCCTTGCGAGTGCAGCTTTTGCGAGTGCAGCCGCTCGCGAGTGCAGCCTCGTGCGAGTCCAACGTCTCCGAGTTCAGTCTTCCGAGTGCAGCTGCGGCGCTTGAGACATGAGAGAGGTGGACTGGGGTCCACGCGAACGTGAACCCCAGAACCGAAACCCAAACACCCGAATCGTAAACGAAAACCCTCGCCCGAAACCGGCCGAAGTCAAAACTCCCCTACTGGGAACCCCAAGAGTAAACATAAAGCTTGGGCCCGAAGAGTAAACGTAAGTAAACGTAAATCCGCAGAGTAAGAGTACCCTTGCCTTACTCCCGATACCCCCACCCTAACACAAAAGCGTCCCGTCCATTCGGCACAACCCTCACAAGAATAGGTTTTTGACAAGCCCCCACCACATTATTATGTGAGTGGGTGGGTAGATGGGTTCTTCAGCGCATGACATGACACACCTGTGGCCCGTATGTTAAAACTGCTTTGTTGCTGAAGCAGCGCTGCAGATGCTACTGCTACTGCTGACGCTGCAACGGTGATACTACAGCGGCGTGTGCGCGCCGGAGGGTGCGCAGCATACTGGCGGGAACGGCGCTACAGAGCCACCTTACACGAGTACGCTTGTTTACACCACAATGCCCGCTTGCAGGACAACAGGCGTGTGCAGCACACGGCTCCCGAGCACCATACCGCAGCGTTTGTGTACACCGCAGGAGCTGTGCGCACCACAGCCCGCGTGCACACCGCAACGCATGCAGCAAAAATCCCGATATGCATCCATGAGGCCTCAGAGCCACAGCCAAAGTACGGGGACGGAAGTGCCCGAAGACTCTTACACAATATGGAAGTTCCTTGTCTCCAGACCCTCGGGAACGAGGATCAGGAGAATCCCCGAGGCCTCCACCTCCGCACCGCCCCTGTGTCTGCCCAATCGGATGCTTCGAATGCCGTCGGAGTCGTCGTGATCGTCGTCGGAGTCGTCATCATCGTCGGAGTCGTCGTTGTCGTCGGACTCATCGTCGTCGTCGTCTTCGGCATCGTCGTCGCACTCCGAGTCTTCGTGGGGATCGGCGTCAAAATCGTAGCGGCAACCGTCTTCATCGAAGTTATCGTCTAAATTATTGGCGTGTCCGTGGAAGTCGTCGGAGTCGTCTTCGAAATCGTTCAAGTCGTCGTCAGCGTCAGCGTCAGCGTCGGGGTCGTCGTCATAGTCATCGTCGTCGTCGGAATCGTCAGCGTCATCGTCGTCTTGGTCGTTGTCATCGGGATCGTCGTTTTCGTCCCCTTCTTCCTCCTCCTCCTCCTCCTCCTCCTCCTCCTCCTCCTCCTCCTCCTCCTCCTCTTGCCCCTCGTCCTCGTTCTCCTCCTCCTCATCCCCCCCATCCTCCTGCCCCTCCCCATCCCCCGCGTGCCTCAGCGGCGACGGCGGCGGCGGCGAAGAGGATGCCCGAGGAGGAAGAGGAGGACACGAACATCAGAGGTAGGGAAGGCACGCGGAGGCTGGTCACTGCGCCATAGCAGGCGCGGTGATGGTATCCGCCCCCCAGAAGTTATAGCAAGCTTCGTTAAGCTTAGGTTTCCCCATGGTGCCGACCAACGGAGCGCCGCCAATCGCGCCGCGGCCCAGGATGCGCCAAGGTGGATTTGATCAGACCGGGTACGGAGGACGAGGAAGAGAGGGAAAAAGAAGAAGGCGAAAGCGCGGAATCTCGGGGATGGGACACACGACATGAACATGAACGTTCGGAAGTCCTCGCTGTTTTCTTCGATCGGCGTTGGCCCCCCTTGGCGACGCTTCCGGCGCCACCCCTGACGCGGGACAAGAGAAGCAAAAGGACCCAAAAAATCCGCGCGAAATTCTTAACATGTACGTTCATGCCGTTTTCCATTTGATCGACCGCCGTGCCCCCCCGGCGTACACCATTACGTTTGCGTTCAGCACAGTGGCGGTGCACACAACAATGCCCGCGCACACCACA